GCATATTCGTATCGCCTACATCTCGTGGCGACTACAACTCCGCGCAGCAACTGGCACGGTCTGGTACTGCGAAGGCGGTAGTGATTGTTAATGCCTTTGCGAAGGATCCCCGGAGCATCCCTGGAGACGCCACAATGGCATATTTTCTGAAGCCACTGACATACAATTCACAGGTCGCCGGATACCTGATCCGATCTTATCCCAGTAACTGGACCGTTCTGGATGCAACCTCAAAGGCGGTCCTCGGCACCTTTTCTGACGGGGAAATTCTGGTCCAGGGCACAAACACTCCTGACCTCAGAGCTTCGGGAAGAATAGTTCAAAAGTCGGTTGACGAACGGGCAATTGCCGCACGCAACAGCAATAAATAGAGGGAGACGAAAACGAACATCATGTAGAATGACAAAAAAGTTTCGAAAAATATGGGGCCCCTACTGTGTCGATCGCGACTCGAATTGATTTGAGCCTGCAATGCGGGACGAAAATTGTTAGAGAACAAGACTAGCATTACTTGCATCAGAGTGCGAGAATATTTAACTTATTTTGAGTAATTTTGTACTAAAAAATATCATTCGCTCAAATTAAAATCTGCTGTGAGATAGGATGATGGTTAGACTTCATTAAAAAGCAATGTGGTTTCCTAGTCAGCATTGTATTCTGCTGTATATTTATTGCACTATCTAGGATGCGGTGCATAGTGTGCATGTATAGTAACTGTAGATAAGCATAATGTTAAAAATAGCAATGCTACTCAATAATACGTTACAAATTAAACAATTACTACTTGATGTCACTACTGTATCTCGAAAGCATGACCGAACGATTCTAATACATATTTGCTGTTGTTTGGTACTAAGTGATCCCCGACGAGATTGGGTATGATGTTATAGTCTTCTGGTTTCGCGTGGTGCCAAACAATCGAAATTAGCTCCTAGAAATCAGAAGCTTCCTCGACTAATAACCCTAGAGGATCCTCTTTCCTTGTTCTTTTCACCACTATTCTTCTTGACATTCTTCTCATCGTTTGAACGAAGATTGGAAACCATTCGTTCTATCATACGATGAACACTCTTCGCCGTTAGGTTTTTTTTCTTCTTCTTGATTCCCTTCCCAATAACTTCGATGCTCACTTCACTCGCGATTGCGGCACCATTTCTACCCGCAGCATTTGGTTTTTTAGTTGTCTGCCTTGCACCCTTGCAGTCGTCACCCTCATCTTTGGTGGTACCATCAGTGTTGATCGTGCTCTCGTCGGATTGGACTCCTACGGCACAAGACTCTTCGTGGTTGGGAACAATATCTTTTCGGCTATCCACCTCATCGACACTTCCGGTCCAGGGAGTAAAGGATAGCCCCACCGGAGTGGTAGTGTTTGGCACACTGTCGTTCGACAGCTTCGATTTCTTGAGCAGTATTTTATTTCTGCCAGGCTCTTTGGTGTCAACAGGTAACCTGTATCGGAGGATAGTTGTCGCTGCTTTGGCAGCCAAGTCTTTCTGGTTATCAATTTTGATCATGATCTCGTCCTCTTCGTTTTCGCTTGTCAATGCAGCGCCGTCTCGTCGGACAAGGACGATKTCCTCATTGAATCCATCTTCATCCAAAATKCCTGATATGTTTGCTCCACACCCRTTTTGAAGSRCAAAAAATMTAGACGACTCGATAGTGTATTGGAACTCCAGAGACTTGACGTCTCCATTCAATGTTTCTCCATACGTAGTCAACGTACTGGCGTATGTATTCAAGCTTATGTCTTCATCGTCGTCGTTGTCGTCACAACCCCCCTGAGATTTGGTTCCCGATTTGATGTATCGAGATGTTTGATTCTCGGTCAAAATTTCTTCAATAGAATCTGCACAGGCGAACGCGTTGGAGCTGGTAATCTTGTTGTCGTTGCATGCCATTAGCGTGTTGTTTTCCGTTGCCAACTTCGCTGCAGAGCAGCAGAGCTCAAGTGAGCAATGCAACCGTTGCTCTGGTAGTTTTGCCAAGGCTGGCAGCAGTTCCATGGAGCCGTCCTTTTTTTCCACCATCTCGGCAGTTGGCAGCATTCGGCGTTGGTCAATGTGTTCACAGATCAAGTTTACGATGAAACCGCATAATGTCTTTTACTGACATAACACGACCCCAATCAAATTCGTTTAGAATGGTAAATGGCATCTGTTGTTTTTCTTTAGATACTTCTTTACTACATTGTCGTACTTTTCGGCATGTGCTTTGCTGTGGGAACAGATTCTCCAATGCCGCTTTTGTTCTTCGAAAGATATCGACAAGATACCATAGTGTCAACAAAAATTGGACCGTTTCTGAGATGAACGGCGTTGTATTCTTAATTGTGGCACAAAATTCACGAAAATTGTCCGTTCGTGACCAGGGAAAATACGCATACTATGGGATTCTTCTATTTTGTCCAACCGTAATAAAACCCTTTCGGCCTCAAAGCATCTTGCGAAGGCACATTTATTTCTCAACGGAAGAATCTGTAATATGCCACGTCGAATTTTTCTTATCTCATACGGATGTTTGCAGCTCCAGTATTAGGGACTATCCTACCGATAGGGTTCGTAGTTCGTACCGGTACGTACGAGTACTCGTACCGGTATTACCCTTATGTGTTGTAAAAAATGTAGTAGTAGTACTAGTTACTTGTACTAGTACGAAGTAGCCTATTCTAATAATCATACGGTACGTACGTATGTAACGTACAAGCCAACATACCACTATACCCTGCATCCTACCATCTTATGTACATAGAGTACGTACTACTGTATACTGTATCATATATCAAATAGTATCTTCCACGTGGAAGGATGAAAGAGCATGTATGAAAACTGGGAACGGCAAACGTCACGTCCTTCCGTACGCACAACGAGTGATGTCACATCACGTCGTGCAGTTTTGTTCATGGTGCCGTACGGTACTCGTACGGGTACAAGTACCATGGTATCAACAATCAACAACAGCATCCGCCTTCTTTCTTCGATCACATCGCGAGATAGTTGTACTCTTAACGTTCTCCAGATACAACATTACTCGTTCTGTAGTTTCACTTCAAAGTTGTATTCCGTCGAATACAGTCGAAAAAGTCTCAATTTATCCGATATATATATAAAAGTAAAAACATGTTCCGTACTTCCAGATCAATTTCGTTTCTGTTGCTCGTTGTATGGACGTGCCTGCTTGCAGTGACGGCATTCGTGTCCACGGCTCCAAGGCTCGCAACAACCAGCAGCAGCACTTCTCTCTTTGCTGTCAGCAGCCTCGTTCGAAAAGCAAAGGAAGCCGAGCTGAAAAAGGGTCTCAAAGAAAACGGAATCCCCGACGACGTCATGGAAAACTACAAAGTTATTCAGGAGGCGTTGAAAAGCGACGATGCTGCTGCTCCAAAAGAGATGGGTCCCCTCCAAGACAGGCTTACGAGACGCAAGGGAACCATCACGGTGATTGCCGAATACAAGCGCAAAATTGCCGACGGGGCCAATGGGTACATCAATGTCAACGGGGGCACCGACGACGATGCCGACGACKCCGAAAAACGAAAGCAAAACCTCGCCGCCAACCAACCCAAMTTGCTGAGCAGTGAATTCCGAGAATTCGGTGCCGCGGGAATCGCCGTCCTGGCCGACGGCCGAATGGGCGGGTGYACCTACGACGACATTGCTACCTTTGTCGAGGAGCAGCGCCGTGCGAGCAACGAGGTTCCCGGGCCTGTTCCGGTCATCAACAGCGACGTGATTATCGACGAGGTACAGATCGCCCAAACGGCGGCCGTCGGGGCCAAAGCGGTGGTCCTCGACTGGGAGCTGTTGGGTGGCGAAGAGGATGTCGTCAAGCTTGCCAAGGCCGCACGGGCTCTCGATCTCGAGGTCATTGTTGCTGTTCGATCGAAGGAAGAAAGCCAGGGTGCAATCGATGCCGTTGGTGGATCCTTCATGATCAGTGTCGTCGGAAAACCAACTTGYGATGAAAAGGTAGAGGTAGTCGATGGCCTCGACATACCGGAAGACGTGACCATTACCACCATTGCCAACATTTTGCACCGCTCCGACCAGGGTCTGGCCGAGGTCGAAGAGTGCTGGATGTGCCGCGACAAGGGTTTCAACGCCGCCTGGATTTCCGATGCCCTGTACAAGGCCGGAAATTCCGAGGTCGAACACCCCGGTGCCATCATCCGCAGCATGGCGGCAAAATCGAGCGTCCGATGGGCGTCCCCTGTTGCCAAGAGCGGACGCGGAGAGGGTGCCAAGGAATACCTGGGTGATATTCTGATGTAGGTAGTCAAATTCTCGCAATATATCGTGAAAAAACTAATTACGCACCATTACTGTATCAACACACAGCAACATCGATAGTTGGAATTGAAAAAGTTCGGTGACAAAACGGAATAGTAGATATTTTTTTAACACGGGCACCGTGGAAGACGAATGTTCCCTGAGGGTCCACAAAGGAACATATGTTTGCTACTGCTGGAACTCCGATTGATCTGTAGGAACTAAAGGAACCATCTCCATTTCTGTAGCTCGAAGACATTGACGTGATTCTCGTACATGCTGGAGTAGAAGTAGGCTGACCAGGATAATCGCCCAACGATCGTAAAATAGCATACATGTTTTTTCCTAGTGGATATCCCCAACCAACTCAAATGTCAGCCTGGTGACTTGAGGGGACACTCACATGATGGATTGAATACAACACATCGACTTTTCCAGGACCGTAGCACACGACGTTCCCTCAAGTCGAGCGTATTGCAATCCTCAATCTCGTCTCGATGATGTTCAATAAGTCTCTTATGAAAAGAGACAACTCGAACAGTGCACCAAGACTACAGACTGGATGGTGTGATTTCGAGCTACAAGAATACCCAAAAGTTAGACATGGCGCGGAAGCACGGCACGGCACGGCACAACACTACACAACTCAGCCTAGCCTAGACTAGCCCAGCCCAGCGCAGCAGACGACTACACGACATGCCCCACACCGTACAAAAACCGCGAGTTTTTTTTTAAATGTATTTTCTATTTGTTTAACAGGTGCGAGACCGAGGCCCGATCCAACCGTCGTCTCCCTCCGTTGTTCTCGGCGGGTTCGTTTGGTCCGTCTCGGACAAGACACCCAAGGGCGTCTCCCCCGGCGGAACATCAAACGAACCGCGTCATTCCAGCGAAAGAAAGGATCGGTGGGTTTCCCGGCGCCTCGGTTTCAGAGATTTGCGATCGACAACCGCAACGCAAACGGAGAAGGAGCGTTTGGTTTGCGGCCGGGCGCGGTTCCTACTTTTTCGGCGGCTCGTGTCCCTCCGTTCGAATCCATCGAACGGAAGCGAAGCACGWGGAGCGTCATTCCAAGAAACCACGCCGGACTTTTTGCCCTTCTCTGTTTACCGTTTCGGCACGAGCCACGGCTTGCGAGCGTTCGTGTCGACAACGATTGCCGCATCGCCTCGCATCGCATAGCCGCGGTGCATTGGTGGTGATTGTTGTTCTTTTTGTTCGTGTCCTTTTTGGTGTTGGTTGCTTGCATGCCAACGCAAAAGACGGTCGCTCCACCCGGCACGGCACCAGGAACGGGCCTCACCGGGCTCGAACGAACCAAGGCCTAGCAGCAGCGGTCGGAGCGTTCTAGTCCCGGGAGCAACCGGCGAACGAACCGGGCACGCCTACAGCGCGGCCGACTTGGTGCTGCTGCAGTACAGGGAGTTCTTCCCCCCCTTCCCCGAGTTCTGCTTGTGGCCGGTCTGGGGAGGGAGCACCTGGGACTTGGTCCCCGTTCGTCACGGCTTGATGTACTTGGTGGCCGAGTAGTTCACCTGGTGCTTCTCAWAGTCGGACGTGTGGGTAAAGGAGGACCCGCTGAGGTCGATGGRCTGGTCCTTCCGCAGGGAGGAAGCAAAGACGCCCCGGCTCGMGTCGTTGCGGTGGTTGGACTCGTGCATCGTGAAGCGGGTTTCCTGCGAGGGGTCGGTGGTGAGCTTGACCTCGTTGTGGGACCCGATCATGCTGGTGAGGGCCCCGTCGAGATCGTCCAGGTTGGTCTTGTTGCCGGCGCGGCTTCTTCTGTTTCTTCGGGGGTTCATGGTGTTGTGTTGTGCTGTGCTGTGCTGTGTTGTGTTGTGTGGTGCGATCGGGTGTGTCGTTTGTGTCGGGGTGTTCTCTGGTAGAAGCACGAGTACTCGTAGTTGCCGCTGGGGTGGTTCCTTGCTCGGGCTTCGGGAACGGCTTTACGTGTTTTCTTTTTACTAAGAGGTGCTTGCAACCCGAACCGGGTGGAGGACAGACTTTCGAACAAAAACCACTAATTTTGCCCGGAACAGGACCCTACTGCGACGCGCTGCGGTGGTCGCGTGGCTCGGTTCCTTTTCCGAGGGGAAACAGAAAGCAGGAAAACCTAAAAACAATGTGTTGTTCAGTACTCGTGCCGCCCATCGCGGTTTTCTTTGGCATCCGACGAGAGCAACGATACTACTGTACTCGGTACCGTAGGAATCCCATCAAAATCTCTGGATTGGATTGACCGAAATACGTACTCGTACCGCTGCGAACAGAACAACGCCGACCCAACGAACACCCGACGGAAACCAAACCCAGCGAAAGCAAACCAGCCCAGCCCAGCCTTGCCCAGCACAACCCAGAATGTCCGACGCCCGCAACTCGTCCAACAACCTCCGCGGGGGGGGTGCCCGGCAAACCGGGGGCTCCGGCCGCACCAGCAAGTACGCCCAGGGGAACCACAAGACGGAGCTCCTGGGCCAGGCCGGCCTCGCGGCCCACCAGGACCGATCGGAGGCCAAGCGCAAGCTCCAGCTCCAGCTCACCTCCAAGCAGCTGGCGGCGGACGTCCGCAAGATGCTCCTGGAGTACCACACCGAGGAGGAATACAGGGACATGGAGATCCCCCTCCCGTCGACCGAGGACGCCAAGAAGAAGCTCCAGGCCATGAAGGAATTCACCCAGAAGTGGTACGACCGGGAGTTTCGGGAGGAGTGGCTCCAGACCGTCACGGAGGTCTGGCTGGAGGAGCTCAAGGAAAAGTACGAGGAGGCGGTCCGGGCCGCCATGGCGGCACGGAACCCACCGAGGGAGCAGCAGCAGCAGCAGCAAGAGGGCGAGGCCATGTCGATCGAGGAGCTCCAGGAGCACATTGCCGGCCTCCCGGCCGACACCCCCCCGGAGGAACGCCAACGCCTCAAGAAGAAGCTCAAGCGCAAGAAACAGCGGGCCAAGGAGAAAGAAAAGGCCAGGGCCGCGCCTCCCGCCGCCGGAAACTAGCGGCCGTGCCGAAACGGGGGGCGGCCGGCCGGAGGGTGGCGCACCCCCCCCCACCCGAATGCGACGAAAACCGAGGGAGGGAAGGACCCCCGCAGTCCAGCGAGGTGGCCGGGTTCGGTTCGCGACGATCCCCGCACGCACCGCGGTTCTTCTGCCACGCCCTTTCRAGGAAACAAACAAACAAACAAACAACAGCGTGCGTGCATGCATGCATGCATCGGCTCGGACCAGGCACTCTGTGGGTTCGGTTCGAMAAGGAATCCCCGRAACCGCGCTTCCGAATGCGGGAAAGAGCGATCCGAAGCAGCGAGCAGACGGAATGCATCGCGACGCGGGGGAGTCGGGGACAGACCGGCACGATTCCAGCTGCACCGGATACGGGAGAGGGCAAGCCCGCCCGTGCCTGCAGTTCTACAAAATACGCCTGTCCCAAGATTTTGGTCGAGCGTGGTCCTGTCGCGACACGGACAGTGATACTTATTACTACGATTTCTATAGCGCGCCGTTGAAAGAAAACTATGTCGCAGGGGTATCCGTAGATATAGATGTAGTGTACTTGCGGAAGATGTTGTGTCTTTTTATAGGTTGTGACAACCGAAATGTGGCGTACAGCAACAGTCACCGGGAATTTCATCATATTCCCGTTAGCTTCGTATTCCCAAATGCTCCCGCAATTCAATGTACAACGGGCATCCGGTCGAAGTAGCCTCTACGGACAAGGCCTGCGCTGGGGATATTTTGGTTCGAGCTCTCGCAATTGAGACATCGGGGCTTAAAAGTTTTCATGTTTTTTTTTCCTCCGGCATCAAAGTTGTTCGTCACACATCGCTCTCGATGGAATCAACGAGACGAGTCAAAAAGAATCTTTGTACAATGATGCTGTGGCTTCGAGAAAAAGGTCCTGGCAAGTTATGCGTACAGCAAATGTTCTTCGGCTTGCGAGGACTGTCAGGTAGAACACGAAGCGCACGCATAGGAGCCTTGTGCAAAGCAACAGTAGCTGGCGAGATCGTGTTCGCCCAATGCGATCCAGCAACGCTAGTGTCGGACGACGTGGTGTCGCCGGCGTGCTGCTTCCGCGAATTTCTCGTTTTCCGCCGTACTGTTTGGTTTGAAGAGTGCCCACGGATCACGGGCAGACCAGATTTTGTGTTCCTCGGTTTGCACGGATCGGAATCCGAGCTCCCTTCGTCCGCCCCCGATGCCGAGCAGCCTGCCATCAAATCGAAAAGCCCTCGAACCTCGGTATCGCTGCGCGCCTCGCTGCTCCGCCGGCGTCTCCCGGAATCTGGGGAGAGATCGACAGGGGATCGTCGTCAAAGCCGTCGGCCTCCGGCAGGAGACCCATCCCCCCGCCGTCCAGCTCCTCCGGCCCCACCCCGCCGCCGGCCGCCAGCCGTTCCGCCGTTCGCACGGCCTGCGTAGCGGCGTCGTCCAGGTCGCTCGCCATCGAGATGTGCCCCGCGCCGGACTCGGCGATGAGGGCCTTGGCTTCCTCGTAGTTGGTTCCCTGGAGCCGGACCACCAGGGGGGTCCGGATGCCAATCGTTTCGGCGGCCCCCAGGATGCCGCTGGCGATCACGTCGMAGCGCATCAGCCCCCCAAAGATGTTGACCAGGATGACCGAGACCCGCGGGTCTGCCTCMAGGATCCGAAAGGCGGCCCGGATCTGGTCCACGTCGGCTCCACCGCCGACGTCCAAAAAGTTGGAGGGCCTTCCGCCCTTGGAATGGATCAGATCCATCGTGGCCATCGCCAGGCCGGCGCCGTTGACCATGCACCCGATGCTTCCGTCCAGCCCGATATAGTCGATCCCGTGSCTGATTGCCTCGGCCTCGCGGGGGTCTTCCTGGTCGTAGTCCCTCTGGGCAAAGATGGATTCCTGTCGAAAGGCCGCGTTGTCGTCGAACCGAACCTTGGCATCTACCACCACCATGTCCGTCGCCTCCTTGCCGCCGGGCTGGTCGAAACCCACCGCTTCTGCCAGCGGATTGACCTCGATCTGCGTGCAATCGCGCTTTTCGAACACCTCGTAGAGTTTCATCATCGTGTCCACCGCCTGATCGAAGGTCGCCGGATCCGAGCCCGGATCCAATCCGATGTTTTCYGCCATGCGCTCGCACTGATCGAGCTCCAATCCGTCCATGATATCTATTTCTTCCGTGAAAATAAGATTCGGGTGGGATCGGGCGATCTCTACGATCGAGGTCCCGCTGCTGCCCCCGACCGGCGATCCGATCAGGAGGGGTCCCTGGCTGGACCGATCCATGAGAATCGAAAGATAAAACTCCCGCTGCAGCTTCAAGCGCTCCACCAGAAGGACCTGGTTGCACACGACCCCCTCGGGGGCCTGTTTTGTGACGAGCTTTTGGCCCAGCATGTTCGCGGCAAAATCGCGGGCCTGGTCCGGATCGGAAACGACGTGGACGCCGCCCTCGAATCCGTTCCGAAAGGTYCCGGAATKTCGGCCGCCCGACAGSACCTGTGCCTTGAGGACGGCGTCGCGAAACAACGATCCTACAAGAACGATTCGYGAGGGGAACGAAACGCAAGGAATGAGAGGCAGAAGGCAGCAAAAGGAACAATCGGGAACGATGTTGCATGCCATTGTGTAGAGAGCACGCTGCGCCGAACCGATACGCACCATCTCCACTGGGAGAAGACTTTTGGAAGTGAGTCCGAAACAGTTCTTCGGCTTCGTCCGGGGTCGAGGCAATGTAGCCCCCGGGGGTGCGGATGCCGTGGTTCCTCATCAGTTCCATGGAGGGAAACTCGTGCAGGTGKAGGTTTCGTACGGCACCCACRACCGGGACGCGGGTGCTTCCACCAACGGTGCCCGCCGTCCTTGCGCAGCTGCGCCAAGCGGCGGAGYCCGCTCCCCGGAACAGCCGCAATGGAAGCGGCCGGACAGAAATCATCGTTATCGTGCTTTTGCGGCGTCTGTTTGTTGTCGCAACGATGTTCTTGAATTGTTTTGTTCGGTGTCTTTCGGGACAAGATTGCTTGTTGTTCTGTAGTGTGAAAGTCTAGTTACTTAATCCAAGGGTTTTGTTAGCAATGGAAAAGATTCACAATGTTGTCTCCGTCTCGTTAACCATTGTGCACCAAGGAAGTTCTGGTGTCCTGACTGGAAATTCGTGACATCATCCCCTGTTGCTTTTGCGGAAGGGGTGGCAACTATTTTTCGTCAAAACAAAAAGAGAACCCCCGAGTTGATGCATCGAACAGCGTTTTTATCATCCCAGTTCTTTTCGGAAGTTTTGCCGCCTTTTCATTATGTAGATAGAGTACGAACATATGAATATTGCCTTGTGTCCGTATCAAAGAGACAAGAGACGGCAAAACGCTTAGAACAGCATGCGCGCGCGCGTGAGGATTACAGTAGACTACTGCACTCGTTAGTAACTTCACATACCGGTAAGTACGTACCGTACGTACCGGTAGGTCAGGGATTTGAATTCGAGAATTATCATCGATTCCATTCGTTGGGAGTGTTCCTTGTGACCATTTTTTATTGACTGTACCGGTAGACTACGAGTGCCSTGATCGATTGTGGTCAAATAATCGTAYTCTCGCATCACAACAATTCCCATCGCCGTATCGCCACTGCCAAGGAAAAGAGAGTTGGAGGACGACAATGCCACCATTCACGATGGCCGGGGGAGGGCAGCCACAGAAACAACAAACAACAATGGGCGGAAACCGGCGGCGATCCCCATCGTCGGCTGTAGAAATAATAGGAACCATCTTGAACACAATTTTCCACAACAAGCACATACTCCTCCTGATGAATGCTTCTCTCATCGTGTTCTTGGTGGTCATGAACGGCCAATCCAGCTACATCTTGCTGCCAGATGCACCAGCCGATACTTTCTCGTCGTCGTCGTCGTCGGCAATAAGGAAGGCATCAACTGTGATGGACCTACCGAAACCAGYCATTGCTTCGGAACCATGCCCGGACCCACCTCCCCCCCCTCCGCCTAAAATTATTCACACAAACGGAATGAGCGGTAGCACCACCGAAATCAAGGAGTACAACGATGCCGAGATCGGAAAGACGGCGTCGGTTCTGGCCATGGCCACGGGGTACAGCCTTCTCGATTACCAGCGCTTTGTTGGATCCCTCCGAAAAACGGGCTTTGAGGGAAACATTATTCTTGCGGTGTCACCCAACATAAATTCGGAATGCGAAAACTACCTCGCTACCAAGAACGTGATCCTCCACAAGGTCCAGTACGTCGAGTGCAGCCACCCGGTGAAGAAAAACGTGGATAAAAACGACGAGCACGAGAAGGAACTCGTCACCTGTGTCCACCCGTACCCCAAGCTCAAGCACCGGTGGGCCCGGTTTCCCTTGCTCAGAGATTTACTCATGCAGTGTGGTGGGCACGAACATCCCGAGGTCCAGTGCGGCGGGCCCGTCCTGATTACCGACATGCGGGACACTATGTTTCAACGGAATCCATTTGGTCCCGAGGCCCCCAAGGTCTACGGCCTCCAGGTCTTTGCCGAGCACTACTCCATTCGGACCACCCACTGGCTCGTAGACTGGCCCGTCGGCGACTGCAAGGGCGTCCACTACGACGAACCCATGCTTTGTTCCGGGACCACCATTGGAACGCGGCAGGCCATGCTGGACTACCTGGAGATTTTCCACAAGGAAATGAACCTGTGGATGGAATCCCCCAAATGCTGCTGCTTCGACACGAACGGAGACGACCAATCGATGCACAACTTCCTCTTTTACTCGGGGGCGCTCAACTCGGTGGACGGTGGGGTCCAGGCCGTCAAAAACCGCAACGGGCTGGTCAACACGGTCGGGGCCATGGGCTCACTGATCTTTGAATCGCACGCTCGTATCAAAAGAGAGTTCCTAGGAGCGCTGAAGGATCCCGACAGGCCAGTCAWGGATGCGCACCACGAGCCCTTGGACATGAGCCCGGAGGACAAAGTCGACGAGGAAGGCAACAGCAAGACCTGGATGGGAGCACAGTACGGCCTTGTCGACATGGATGGGTATTTTGTGGACTATGACGGGAGCCGTTCCTTTATCATTCACCAGTACGATCGGTTCGGCMGCCACTTCGACAATTGGATRGACGGGAACCGGGAACGATACTATTACCCTTAGTAGTCGCAAACGYATTGGTGCGGGTGTCGCTGGTCAGGCCTTGGTTCCGGTTTTGCGGTGGAGGCGATCGAACAACAAGACTGGAACACCCAATGGGAAGCGATTCCGACGACGAAATCATGGGACTACTGTCGCGGGCATGTGCACTACTTATTYGTTTGGCTGTGGTTCCAATTTTATGGGCCAAAGTAAGACTAGAACATTCGATTAGACTCAAAAAGAGATTCAAATTAAGTAGCCGCTGATCTGTTGTGCTACTGGCATTATTTAATGCTGTTTTTGTGCTACGCGTAAAGTCTGCTTTTGAACTATCTAAGGCTATTGCGTTTTCGCAGTGACTGAAATTCCAGGACGGWTTCTCCGTTTCCTTCGAGCATACTCGTGGTGTCTCCATCGCTTCTTTMGTGTCTACCAGCAAAAAAGAGGCCACAACCCTTTCCCAGAATGGGTCCGTCCTTTTCGATTAGATTTGCCTCCCGTCCTAGCATTGGCTCGATCCATGGTCCCGTCAACCCTCCATGATTCCTGCGCTTTCAAGCGACGATGTACACCGCTTCGGAAAACCGAGCAACTGGATCGGCAGCACCATACCAGATGTGTTGTTTCGGTGCTTACCTAACCAGCACCTCGTCCTCGCCAACTGCTAGAGAATATGGGTTCCCAGCGGCCCAGTCACCCGGTCAGACTTTGGCCATCGCATCAAATTTGCGACTCTTCGTCACTACCGCCTTAGTCCATGGTGTTCACCGAATGGGACTTTGGATTGTAGCCTCGAACGGCCACCTTCCCGACTTCACTCAGCGTAGCGTACATTTCAGGTCATTCAACGGTATCACATTGATTTCTTTTTGACGCGGGACTCTTCTGCGATTGGACCAAACTTTCACCCGTGGGCAACTTTTGGGTTCGTATCAGGCGTGGGTAGTCTTCGGTTCCGGATTTCGGCACAGCAAGTGCAATTGATTTGCGACCCGAGGTGCATTGCAACTGGTATTGCTGTTTCTTGACGTTGTTGAGCGGAGAATTGGGGAGGAACGACCAAAAAGATGAGCCACATCCATCCGGGCACGTGCCACGAACGAATCCAGTTTTAGTCATGGATCTGGGTCATTGTCATTGGTGAAATCGTCGAACAACATGGACTGAAACAGTAAAATTAACGTTCGTGATGCTATCGCACCTCCCCGTGCCGTGCATGCTTTCATCCAATCTGCACACCAGCATTGTTTTTTCATCCCGTACCGTACTACGAGTTACTGTAGTTCTTTACGTACTGAACGTTTGGCGACGTGTCGGGATGGAATTTGCACGTCACGAATCATTTTTTTGGTGCTTGTTTCTTTTTCTTTTTTCTTTTTCTCTCATGTTGACATCGTTTTTCGATTTTTATGATTGCATTCTAAAGATCGAGATACGGAAGCCGGAACCACACTCAAGCAAGGAAACGCAAAACGGTGCCGCGATCGCAAAGAGCTAGCGATAATTACCAGCATCAACGCCGTACAACAAGCTACACCATGATTCGATCCTTTCTTGCCTCGTGCGCTCCTCCCGCAAACGGTTCGTTCGTTTCGTCCTCCGCCAACCGTGCTGCGGTAGGGAACGCAAACGATCGGGCCCTCGTACAYGCGCCCGCTAAGATCGCCCCCTCCTACCCGGTGTTCGTGACTCCGGCGACTCCCCCGCTGTCCGTGTCGGCCRCAAAACAGCTATCGGCAACGGTCGAAGACGTCGACCTCTTGCTCCCGAGGCAGCCCTCGGTTCACGCGGAGGTCCTTTCTTTCTTTTCGTCGCTCGATTGATCGCACGAAGGCCGGGACGCGGCGACACCGATGCCAACCGCGGTGTTTGATGCACAAGTCGGCCATGCTGCTAGCGATTTGCGGCATGCATGCACGAGACTGYAAACRCAACTATGAATAAGCCACGACCGTTGCCCATCGCAAAYACAAAACAAGCATGCGATGGCAACCCATTTGATACTGTGTCCATGTCGTGGTATGATGTACTGTATTCGGAGGAGGACGTGCCTTTCACACCGAACTAACCGATGAGCCCGGGGGTAGAGCGGCTTGTCGTAGCAGTATACTAATATGTTATACCTAATCTTCAATCACGATAAGAAAAGCACCTTGCGTTTTTGTTTCCTATGAATGTGTGTTGAATATGTCTAGCTCTATAGCTCCAATGAATTTAGGTTATGTGTGCATACTGGAAGACGAGGGGTGATCTTTCTTACTGAGGAGATTATATTGAAGAAAGCTGTTGAATGGTTGCTTCAGATTGATTTGGACACCAAGAATCCCATTGTATCTGCTCTTATTTGGTTTCTTGCCCTCGAAAAAAAAAAACGAAATTTGTTATGATGTGCTGTTAGCATCTATGCATCGAATGCATATTCCATACAAAAGTCCAGGTACAACTTGGCATTGACTCAAAAATGATATGTTTACGAGTAAAAGTCGGCATCTATATCAGATTCGTGGATGATTTTTTTGTTATTTTCTTTAGACACATGAACTTTTTTCATCGTTCGATTTTTACGTTTTTTTGTGATGCAAGCATCAGACACAGATAGATCCCAAGCTTGATCTAGTCTCTGCCTGACTTCACGTGGCTTCCAATTCTTTTTTCGTGAACATCAAGAACAGACTGTTTGGTAGTGGTACAATGAGGAGGAGAATCGGCCGCGGCATCGCCCGTTTACGCAACGAGGGCCACAACCGTCGCCACCAGCAATGCATGGATCGCCGCCCCCGCTCCGAGCACCGCCGCGTCCGACGCCACCTGGCTGGCTCCCGTCACGCCGTCGACGCTTCCCGGGGTGAAGGATTCCACGGGCACCGCAACGGGCGCATCGTCGGCGGGCACCGCGGCCACGGGAGCCGCAACGGGTGCGGCGACGGGTGCGGCGACTGGTGCCACCGTGGTGTTCACGGAAGAATCTCCGTCGTCCATCGCCGCCACCGGGGAGACGACGGGGGCCACGGTGGTCGCCTCCACCATTGGATCTACCGTGGTGGCCTCCTGGGGCACGGTGCTGGCCGAGGGGGTCGGCCCGGCAGTGGTAGGGGCGATGGTTCCGCCGACGAGGCAGCCGCAGGACTGCTCCGCGAGGATCTGGTAGAAGGTACAGGTGTTGGGGTCCAGCTCCCCGGCCAGGCCCGCCGCCTCGGCCGAGGCGCAGGTGATGTCGGGGTTCTGGGGGACAAAGGTGGCGGTTCCGTCGGTCACCGACATGCCCGAGTCGTCCCCGCAGATGTTGCAGGTGTAGTCGACGGGGGTGCACCCGCAGTTGGCCTGGACGGCGGGGGAGATCGCCGCGCAGTCGTTGGGGGTGATGCTTCCATCGATCCCGGCCATGTCCAGTTCCCCGCAGTTGACCAGGAGGCCGATCCCGGGCACCGTAAAGTTAACGTCGGGTGCCCTCATGAAAACGTCGGTTCCGTTCCCGCCGCAGACGTTGCAGGTGAAGTCGACCGGGGCGCAGTTGCAGGCCCCGGCCTGAGCCTGGATGGCACCGCACTGCAGGGGCGACAGGTTGCTGTTGAGGCCGTCTTCGTAGAGGGCGCCGCAGGAATCGACCTGGAACTGCGTGAAGGTGAGGTTGACCTCGGGAGTTAGGGGCTGGGTCGTGTTGTCCCCGCAGATGTAGCAGGGTTCGTATCCTTCTTCGGGGACGCAGTTGCAGGCGTTGGTGGCGATGGTAAAGTCCTGGATGGCCAGGCAGGCATTGGGTCCCAGTTCTCCGGCGAGTCCCTGGGCTTCGAGACCGCCGCAGGTGCCGATTTCTCCGGTCGGGGTGAGAATCTCCTCGTCGGGGCTGTTGACCTTGAAGCCGTCGGCGCAAACACCACAGGTGAAGTTGGCGGGGGCACACTCGCACTGAATGAAGGCAAAAGACGGGGCGGCCTGGCACTGGGCCGGGGACAGCTCGCCGCTCTGTCCGGACTCGAAGAATTCGCCGCACGTGGTGACAACGATGCCGTCGGTGGGATTGGAGGGAAGGGTGATCTCCGTGTCGGGACTAAAGACCGCCAGGTTCTCGTCGGACCCGCAGATGTTGCAGGTGAAGTCGGTGGGGGTGCAACCGCAGGGAATGTTCGCAAACTGACTGATGAAGGTACAGGAGTCGTCGGGGATGATCCCGTCCAATCCGTCCTGGTAGAGTTCGGCGCAGGTGACGTCGAAGGTTGGGGCGTTGGGGTTGGGGTTCGGCAGGGAAACGACAAAGCCGGGGTTGGTGATCTGCGCCTCGGGGTCCCCGCAAACGTTGCAGACACCGAACATGCCAGCGGTGATTTCGGGCTCCGCGTCGTCTTCTTCCTCGCCCGGTGGATCGGTCGCGTCGGCCACCTCGTTCTCCTCGACAACGTCCTCGACGACGTCCTCAACGGCATAAAAGGCATCGTCCTCAACGGCATCGTCCTCAACGACGTCCTCGGCCGCCAAAACGGTCACGGCCATCTGCATGCCCAGCGCGCAGTGGCTGCCCACGGCGCAGACAAAGTTGAGAACCTGTCCCGCGTCCGCCTCCGAAAAGGAGTAGGTGGTGGGATTGTCCTGGGTGCCGCCGATCTGTATGCCCCCCGATGGATCGCAGCTGCCGCTGGGGTAGATCCATACATCGTGCGTCCCCTGCGACCAGGCAAAGGTGAGGGTGTCACCGGCGCTCACCGTCATCGGAGGGTAGGCTTGTCCAATGTTTTGCGGGATGATCCAGTCGGGGGCAAAGTACTCGATGGCGTGGACCGCATCGCCGAGAAATGCTGCCGCCACGACCGCTAGGAGCGAAACGGATGGCAACGATAGTGCTTTCGCCATCTTGGTGTTTGTTGGAAGATAGGGAACAAGCAAGATTTTCTACTAGGTACAATAGTAGATGTGAGTATCGGGGGTTGCTTTTATCTTTATCAGCTACGCTGCGAGATTGCCTTAGTTCCCGCCAGATATCGATACGGGTTGTCCGCACCGTAGTTCGTACCTCCTCTCCTTACTTGACGAAAACGCTTCCGCGAAAGATTTCTTCGGCTTCGCAAGACTGACCGAGGTCCCGTACGTACAGACTAGTACCGTACTCGAACGAACCGGTTGGTGGATTTGTGAAGCTCGCACGAGTGCCAACGCAAGGCACATACGAGCAACGTACGAGCAACGGTTCGGATGAAGCATTGGTAGCCCAATCGATTGGGGCTTTCTCTTGGGAAAGATTTAAGCTTGCTGGTTTTCGTGTGCGTTAGTACTAGTAACAATTGAGATGTCAACGGAAGAAGGTTGTCGCAATCCATGTCGCAAAGAAACCAATAAGGGGACTAAAAATACTTCTCTGGTACGAAATYGTATCTCTCCCACCTTAGTTTGGAGCTGYGCACGTGTGACATCATCATCACAAGTTTTCCTTTTTTTTGTGCAATTGTTATTGCGCACCCTAAATCCAGAGATCTATGTGACATGGCGTGATTCGACCGAGGCTGCGCGATCAATATTTTTAAGCGGTAGCACAGGGTTGTCGGTCTATCCATCACCCGTTTGTGTCGGTCCTCAGCTGTCGTGCTGTTCTCCGAATGGAAATAAGAGTGTGGAATTGACTACTAGTAGAAGAAGTACTCTTGTTAACTTTGTGGAGATGGAGGTTGATAGCGAGCTGAGGTACGTCTGTTGTTGCTCATAACCTGGAAAATGTATTGTGCTCTTTCGTGTCGTATAACTAGTACGTGTTTACAATAAAGAGTGAGCTTATTCACTAGCTAGTACTGGTGATTTACTAGGCTCACATTCACTACTCCAATGCAGTCACAGCATTTACTAATAAAATTCTACTATGGATCTTTTATTACAAGTGATGGATTGTCAAATGGATACAAGTAGAAGGAAAAACGCCAATTCTTTACTCATAAAAGTATTATTCCTCCCATCATAATACTACGTCACATACTACCATTAGGGGAGGAGGATGCTTTAGTCACGACAGAAAACATGAGGAGGACAAGGAGGAGGCTCCTCGTGATGACGGAGGACGAACTACTACAACAACTTATGATGGAGGGTGAACTTCAACAGCAAAGGAAGAAACACCACTCCAATGCACATCGTGTATTTGGCACTGTTCTACTGTCCTAAGATTGGCATTCCCCCACAAAAGAAAGAAGGTAACTAACCTCTGTAGTTGTTGGGACTTCTGTATATTGTCATATGTCGAGTAGGCAATCGTCACTATGGTTTCGTGCCAGCGCTTCGTGCTAGCGCTTCGTGCTACGGGTGCGTGCCTTTGATCGCAGGGAAAACGCTCTGGCGCAACCGCTTTGCCCCTGCCCCACACCCACGCTGTCTGGCTGGCTGGCTGCCTGGCTCACCGGCTGCTGCGCTACCTCCACCAGGCGTTGACGCTTGCCGACGCGTCGATGGACCGCACGTGGTGCCACCACCTCGCGGGGATATACAGCAGGTCCCCGGGCTCCAGGACGCACTCGTACCGATCGGGGGCCTCCCCGAGGAAGAGCGGGTAGTCCCTCAAGAGGGCCTCCGGTGCGGAGGACGAATCCCCCGGGCTTTGGGGGCCGCGGTCCAGGACCTCCGGGTCGATGGGGCTCGTGTTGGCCTGCTGGCCGCCGTGGCCGGCGTAGACCGCTGCCCCCGGAGCGAACAGGAGGACGCGCTTGCGGCCCGCGTGCTGCATGAAGCAGTTGTCGAGCGGGTCGTTGTGGAGGGGCGAGACGGATCCCCTCGGCCCGAGCCACACCATGACSGAGTAGAGCCGGCCCAGCCCGACGGAAAGGCCCCCCTCCGCTGGGTCTCCGGCGCGATKCTCGCCCCCGCCGCAAAAGGCCGGGACCATGACGTCGGGGTACAGGCCGGGCAGCAGGTCGTTCTGGGCCATGTAGACGAGCTCTTCCGGTGGGACTTCCGGCGGAAGTGTGCCGCTGCCAYCGGCGGATTCTCCCGGCAGGKAYCCCACCGATCCGTGGCGCTCCCGGAAGAGCTCCAGGAATTGCAGGTAGGCCGAGAAGGGGATCTCGGCGCGCTGGAAAGACGGATCCCCCCCGCCTTCGGGACCGGCCGCGCCGCCGTASGATCCACCGATCTCGACCGCTACCATGGGATCTYCRCCGCCCTGCTGGTGTCGGTCGGAAACCTCCTTCCAGTAGGAAAGGGACGACCAGCGCTCGGTGGCTTGCGTGTGCGCCACGGCTCCYCGCACCACCAGCGGCGTTTGGGTTTCGTGGTAGGGCCGGACGGCCGCGGCCAGCTCTTCCTCCAGCCGGCGCTTGGCTTCGTCCCCGGTGGAAGAGGGATCGGTGCGGAGGCCGATCGTGGCCTCGTCCACCGGAAGCGTCGCAATGGTGGCGATCGAGCGGTGGAAGGGCCGGAAAACAGCCACAGCCGCCGCCCGCAGCACCGGCATCGCCATCTTCATCGTCATTTGCATCTGCATCTGCATCGGCATCGACAATGGCATCGACCTGGTTATCGTCCACCTCGTCCCCACCACCATGGCTTGTTCTCGGTGGGATGGGATCGGACGCCTCGGGATCGGCAAGAGGGATCCTTCGACAGAACGAGCGGTGCGTTCCGGGCTTTAGGTCGCTGGGAAAGTTGGGTTCTCGAGATCGGAAACCTTGGTGTGTTTGCGAATCGATCACGTGATGCCTTGGCAACCAAGGAGTGTTGAGGACGATGATGTTTCTCGCAGAACGAACAGAACGATCCCAGGTCGTGTCGTGTTTTACTCGTGATTCACTTAGAAGTGTACCTATGTACGTTACGAGAACATGGGGGTATGAGTATGAATCGTATGCTCGTGATTAGAAGTACAAAGTACGGTACAATCAAGTTACATACGAATAACACTCGTCACGTTTTTGTCATTTTATTTGCTTCACTGCACTTTCTCCTGCCGTAGGAAGGAAAAAAAGAATCGAACCACAACGAAGCAGCTAAAACAAAACAAGACGAAACAAGACGAAAGCACCTACTCTCATGACGAGGACGAGGAGGACGACCCGCATCTTCGGGGCACTAGGGGCGCTTCTGCCGGTGCTCCCTCTGTACGCAATCGCGATTGCATCCGCGGCCACATCGTCCACCGCCGCCTCTTCCTCGCTGCCCGGGGACCATGGGGACGCAAGGGACGTCCTCGGCAGGGCGAGGCGCCTCGAGCCCCCGCCCGCCGAGTCCGTCCTCTACGGCGACACGGAGGGCGCCGAGTGGTGGGCGGAGCACGACGACCTCCTCCGCGCGGCCTGGGACCGGTGGGAGCGGGAGCAACAAAGCGTCCGGGCCGCCGTCGGGGAAGGCTCCTTCCCGGAGGCCCGCCGCTTGGTCGATCCGGTCCTGGTGGTGGGCGTGGACCGCGCCACGAAGGATCCGACCGCCGCGAACGAGGCAGCCGCGGTGGCCGGCTGGGAGGCCATCGAAACGGGGGATGGGAACGACCGGGTCTTTGTGTACCCCTCGTTCCTTGATGCCGGGGGGGTYCGCCTCCTCCGGGAACGCCTCGACGCACTGTCCGGGAGCGGGATCCCCACCCGGAGGCCCAACGCCATGAACCGCAACGGCCTCCTCCTCGATACGGGCATCCCGGGCGGGGCCTCCGGGGACGGGGAGCTCCACGCCTTTCTGGCGGAGCTGGCGGGAAGCTTTGCGCGACCGCTGGGCCGGGCCCTCTTTCCGTCCTTTTGCGGAAACCGGGCGGACGATGCCTCGTACTACGCCTTCACCATTCGGTACGGAACGGGGYATGGGACCGACCGGGAAAGGGCGGCGGACCGTCCCTGCGACACGGAGCTGAAGGAACACTCCGACGCRTCCCTGTACACACTCAACGTCAACCTCAACCTGCCGGACGAGGAATACTCGGGATCCTCCCTCTATTTCGTGGCACCGGAAACACACAGCGCAACACCAAACGCAACCTCCACTGTATCCGCCCGCAAGCAGAGGACCGTGGCCGTTCCGATGGAACCGGGAACGGCCGTCCTGCACCGCGGCGCCTCCCGGCACGGGGCCCTCCCCCTCGAGGGGGGGAGCCGGTACAACCTGGTGGTCTGGCTCTACGGCGGTGGCGACGCCGGTGACCACGACGAGGGATACGTCCGCGTCGCGCCCTACCGGGAAGGGGAGCGGCTCCCGGTGCGGGAGCGGTGGTCCCTCGAACCACCGCGAGGACAAGCGCAAGCTCAAACACCGGCGCCGTGGCGGCCCGGGCAAAAGGAGAACTAGCCGGGGGCGGGGCTAGGGGTGTGGCCGTCGAAGGATTCGGCGCAAGGCGGGGTGACCTGTTCTTTCGGCGACGGTGTCAACGAGACCAGCACGAATCGAATGGTGGCAGCCGCCGCGCAAGGCATCCGGCCCGGGAACGGGGCAAAACATCGCTCTCTCTCCCCTGCACGGGCCAAACGAGGACAAAACTAATGCGTGTCTGGCGTATCCGATGACAATCTGCTCGAAAGCATCGACTGCTACAACAGCAAAGATGGCGGCATCCAGCGCTTCAATCGTATTCAAAAAAAGAGGACAGATTGGGGCAGCAATCAAAAACAGCAAGTGACGAGCGTACAAGTAGCATCGGGATGAAAATGACAAACGGAAGACGTACTCATTTTCTTGTTGATCGAGATCAAAAGCGATCCATCATTCCAAAAACGAGAGTTGTTGGAGTCAAAGGCTATCGCATCCACTACCGTATGAAGACATCATCGTAAACGAATCAAAGTGGAGACCATGGAGGTTTAATTAAATCTCATTTGTCACATACTACTGTATACTGTAATGCTGTTCTAAAACAAAATGAAAACGAGTTTCTGTGCTTTTCTGAAGTCATGTCGGGAAGAATCGGGAAGAAATTCCAAAGCATACTATCAATGAATTTGAGGCTAGCCGTGTGAAGCAGAAGCCCTCCTGTATTGTTCTGTATGGTACCAGGTATTCGGTACTGTACTACATTGTATTGTACTCCTACCTCCGTGGTATGGTAAGTACGATATACACGTACCAATACAACGTCCCTTGACGTATGAACTAATAACTAATAGTATGAAGTATGTACGGCACTCACTCACTAGCTACTCGTGATTCATGTGCCTTACAGGCCTGGTCAACAAACAAATCGCTGATGACGAAGAAACTGATGGGGTCCCTGTTCCCGATGCGTCTCCCACAACTCGTCGGTGGTGGAAGGTCCATGGCCATCGTCTCCGACATTGCACTCCAAGCGAAAAAGAAATAA